ATATATATATATATATATATATATATATATATATATATATATATATATATATATATATTATAGATTCCTAGGAAAAAATGGATGCATTTTAATAACAATAGTGGGACTGAATCTAATTTATTACTTTTAAAAAATGTTTTCTGCTAGGAGAGGTTATTTAAAAAGAAACTCAACTTACATTTAAAAAACTATTTAAAGTCTATATTTAATATTATCTACCCTCAATTTTTTCTATTCCTACAGCACTGATTATGTGAAGGCTCAAATTTTAAATAGATTAAGATTATATTATTTTTTCCAGATTAGTCTATACAATTTTAAAGTTGATTTCTTTTTTCTAAAATCTCTTAAAATCATTTATTTTTTGTGTTATTTCAAGGAGTGATTACATTAGATTCAAGTGCATGAATAAAATTAATGAGCCAAAAAATTCTTATTTGTTTGTGGCAGAGGATATATTTTTAAAAAAATCTGACGTTATATTATATTGACTTGTGGGATTGTTAAATATAAGAGGGGGTTATGATGAAATCATTAATGCAGTGATCTGAGTTACAGTTTTTGTAGCTATATCAGCATGTAAAACACATCATACATACAGCAATTTGCATTTTACATTGCCGTTTTGATTATACAGTGATGTAAGAGGCGATATCGCTTTGATATGGTAAACCTAATTGCATTAACCAAATTAGTGATTCTAGAGGGGGTCAGCGTGGTCGAGTCGGAAAAGCTCATGGTTGCTAAACCAAAAAGTCTCGAGTTCGAACCCCCAGGCAGATGAGGCTCGTTAGCTGGGGACAGCCACTCTTCTAGGAGAGACAACTCCAAAATTAAACAACTGCTGCCTTGTAGTTTGTTCTTGGTTGGACAAAGGCTATGGAAGCAAATCCAAAAAGAAAAGCAGGCTGAAATCGGAGTCAATGGCCTCAATGGCACATAACCAGTTGACACATATCCTTAATTGTGATGGAGGCGTGGTCGAGTCGGCAAAAAGCTCATGGTTGATAAATTCGAAAAAGTCTCGAGTTCAAACATTTTGGCAGATAAGGCTCAATCCCTTCCAACACTAAAAATTAAGAACGAAGAAGAAGAAGAAGTGAATCTAGCTTTGTTACCATATTAAGGTGTTATTTACAGATTTGCATCAAGCTGTTAAATGAATGTGTAGATAGTGGAAAACTTTAGGGTGTTGAGCGAGTTGGTGTGGGAGTTGGTCTACTCCATGTGTGAAGTGTGTGGGTTGTGGACTGTGGGTTTTAATATAGGGTGGATTGTTTTTTGTAGTATGCAGCATCTGATGTTATGGTTCAGGTTGTGAGGGGGCATTCCAAGAGTGTGGTAACATGTGGACCGGGGCTATTTGGGTTTGGTTTGGAGTGACGTTCATGGTACCATACTGTGTGAGATGGTGTGGATTTCCCTTTAATGCATTTTAATACTTAATTTTGAGAAATAAATGTTTATTTCACGAGAATTTCAAAAGTACAGATGTTTTGTTTAGTACAGTTCTCTTCTACATCCAATAGGTATATTGTGTGGCGAAGCACGGGTATTCTTGCTCTCAATAAAATCATATCATTAGTTGTTGCCCATCAACATATCTTAACATTAAAGTGTGAATTATTATACAAAACATAGAAGGTAGTACGATAAATAGAGAACAAAAAATGCCAGTTGTTGAATGAATTGCACCATCTTATTAATTCTTATAAGGCTGAATTATTATCTGTAATGGCTTATTTTTTTTATCGTTTGCTAGCATTTTTGACAAAGAAATCAATGCATTCATCTACATTGTTAAATGGTGTATAACTGCGCAATGTCACATAATATACTCTCTTAGTCTGGTAGAAGAAAATTGATGCATTTTTTAAATGGTAGAGTAGATAAAATTAATTAAATTTTGATGGCAGGGGAGGTAATATAGATGGGAAAACTGGTAATACTTAGCAATCTAAGTTTCTATTTTTTCTTTTGGCGCTAAGGGCCAAGATTTATTGAGGTTAAATATTTGATACTATGTTTATTATTTTCCGTTTATTTGGCACAGAGATTTATGATAACTAATAGCGATATCTTAGAGTTTGTCATCTGGTGCTAGGGTCTTGCCGTGGCTTGGCCACTTGGTTACCCTTACGACCCCCAGAGTTATACTAGCGGGAGTGATAACTCCTGGTAGGTTCAACCAAGCTGGGAAGGTCTGTGCCGGTAGGGGTCAGACAAAAGCTAGCATCCCAGTCCTGCAGGTTGGGTGTTGAGCATAAGGTCAGCAACTTTATATAGTAAAAAACAGCTTGCTTCAGAGACGCAGACAAAGAGAAATACAGACAGCTCGGACCTGGGAAAGAATGGATCTCCCTATTGAGAATTTATAAAACCGGGTGGTGAAAGCCAATATGTATTGGGAACTACCAGGTCGACCACCATTATTTCCACCAGGTCCACAATCAATATTGGAGCTTGGAATGTCCGCACTATGTATGAAGCTGGAAAAGCAACCCAAGTAGCCGCAGAAATGAGACACTATAAAATAGCTATCCTGGGTATCAGCTAGTCAAGGTGGACTGGCTCAGGACAAAAAAGACTAACAGGAGAGCTCCTGCTGTTCTCAGGCCAAGTGGATGAAAATGCACCACATACTCAAGGAGTCGCATTCATTCTGTTAAACCAAGCACAAAGGGCTCTCATTGGATGGGAGGCACACTGCCCGTGGATCATAACAGTCACCTTTAAAACTAAAATAAGATGAATGAACATGGACATAATACAGGCCA